AGAGAACACGGAAAAGAAAATATTGGAATGACTTAGTATAATCTCATTTTCTCTAACTAGGGAAGATATTCTATAAATATACCTTTCCTGACAATTTGTGGAGTTAGCAATGACTTTGTTAGTAGCTCTCTTGAAATGTATTTTAGGCACACCGATAACAGGGTTATTTTAAAGCCACATCTAAATCAAACATCTATTCATTCTTGGTAAAAAAAAATTTCAGCTAATTCTGAGTTTAGTGTGAGCAGCGTACCATTTACTGTACGGTTTGGCCATGTTGTGCTTTCCAAAGGTTTGGTAGCGTGTATTAAACATTTTCAGACCGTCTTTTTGTTCATATACCACTTTTGTCCATCACTCGATATGTTTATTGATTTCCGTTTGTAAAAGTCATCGTCACTTTGTTAAGGTGATGATTAATATTTTTCATTAGCATTCCAACCTCTTAATAAATTATCATTATACTTGATATGAATGACCATGAAGCAAAACATTACTTCTTCCACGAAGAACTTGTTTACAACTTTCACGTTGGGGTCAAGGTCCATATGACAGAATTTGACTGAATGTGTGCTTTAAGAATGTTTTCTATAAAGGCTGTTGATTTTTATATTTGCTTATATTTTCTCATTATAGTTGTGGATTTTACTCATTTATGAAATGGGTTATTAAAAGTTGAGATTATTCATCCAATGACACTCCCTTACTCCTTTGACATTGGATCAAGGTCACGGTCATAGAAAGGTCAAGGTTTTCGTTATTTTACTTTTCGTTTGTTCATATTTCCTGGATCTACCTATGGATCTTGTTAATTTGCATCTGAATCATTATAAAGATAAGATAATTCATTCTATGATGTGTTCACTATACTTGTTGACGTTTAGGTCAAGGTCACAGTCATAGAAAATTAGTGTTAAGGCTTCAATTTTTAAAATAATTTTCTCATATTTCCTCCAAGCTTGATGTTATGTATCTATATTATTGATATATCATCAGTCAAGGAAATTCATCCTGCAAAACACTTGATCAAACTTCTTTAGGTGAAGGCCACGTCTTTTACAACTCGAATTGCAGTCACTAGTCTTCTTGTTTACCGGATAATGGTTTTCCGGTGCTTGACTACCTCTTTTGTAAGTGAAATATACCGCATAGGCACCACTGTATCTTGTTTCATCCCCGTTCGTAATGTTTCAATTGTCGCACTGTTTAGTCATCGTATCGTTTCGAGCGGCTTGAGTACGGTTGCCATTTTGCCACAAATAAATGTTTGCTTCCTTATCAAATAGTTGCTCTTTATTCGGCACCTTTTATTAGATGTTCGATTAATGTTTTGTTTCTACCTCAAATCCTACCCTTTTCAGAAGGTAGGATAATATTACATAACAATGAGGGGAGACTAGAGGATGTTTATTTTACTAGTTTCGTATGAATGTCAATAAATTTGAAAGAGTGGTTTATGTATTCAAGGGTTAACATTACTCCTGAGTGTTCCAGTTCATTCCAATCAATCATAACGTGAACGAGATGTTCATTTAGCTACACTTGTGCGCGCTTGTGAGTGTGCAAATTGTTTATTATATTCATATTTAATTTGCATTGTTTGCTAACTTATGTGCATCTGAATTTTGCAATTGACCTTTGTCCGGAATCAAGTTAAAGGTTGTCCTATCTAGTGATATTTTTTGTAAACAAAATTATAAATAGATAATATTTTTCTATTATTATAGATTAAATATTCAGATCAATTATCACTTGTAAATATGTTTACTTATGTCTAAGTTATAGATACAGTCTTGAGTCTTCCAGAAAGTTCCAGACCCGAAACTGTCCATTAACAGGACAGAGTATTTCCAGAAAATGGTGATTGCAACCTAGGTCAAGTAGAGAGATATATAAAGTTGTTTGCTTTAGGATTGCTCTTTCCTACCTTAACATCCAAAGTGGAATCCGTCTTGTTGTTGTATTAGCTTTTAGTTTGAATGGATATATTGACTTAAATTACTTTCTGGTATTACAAAGTGATCATTATTTCTTCTTGAAATTTAGTCATCAATTTGGAATTATAGTGAATTAAGTTAAGGTCATTTGGATTATATTATTTTGACACATTAAAAGGACGGTAGCGCATCACCACATTCCAGGCCATAGGCACATAGCACATTTGAGATTACAGGCACATCAGCACATTCATTAATGAAATTTATTTCGATTAACACTGGAATTGAATTGGAACGTCATATATTTGGACGTGTGATACAAGTTTTGTAACTATTTGAGATTTTATTCACAGTGTAGTAAGTATTTTTACATTTTTGATTTGCATTCTACGAGAAGATTATTTGTTGACTTCTACAAAACGTGTTGGTTTGTGCTCTTTTCTTTTACTTAGTTTATATGCCATAGAGTTGTAATATGTTATTGTACATTGTAAGCTTTGCTACTACAAATTTATGAAGATGCACGCCACTATAAGCAGAATTATACAAGTTTGAAGTCGGAAAAGTTAATATTTTCAAAACGTTAGTCAGGGACAATTGTTTTGTTTTTCCTATATAAAAACAAGTTGTGGAAGCGGAATTTTTATACGTTAATCATTTTACTTATTTATGACCATTCTGCATTCGGGTTGCTTGAATCTACCTCCGCTTATTCATTCACATCCAGTGATATTATAGGAATTGGTCAGTTATCACGATTCTATGTACGCAAGTTCTATGACTGCTTGACTGTATTTTGGGCTCAGCGACCAAATTATCGACCAGCCAGAAAACCTTTAAACAAACAAATCGGCATGATTAATTAGCACTGCTTTAAACGAATTTGTTATATTGTGTCTACTCAACAGATATTGAATAGCGGTATTTTATTTTACAAATAATGCTGTATATAACAGTATGTAGGCAAAAAATTCTGAAGACTAAATTAGGGTGAATTTTAATGTGTATGCGTCAGTGTGAATAACAAAGATGAAACGTCCCATTATACATTTTGGAGCAAAATGGTGTTATTCTTGAAAGAGATAAAATGCTCGCCCACAATGAATTTTCAATTTCAACAATTTTATTTTTCCCATCGAAAATTACAAATGACCACAAAAGACAATGCAGATTCAATGAGATTAAATTAATTTTCACGAAGTCACTCGAATACTGATACAAAAAGCGAATTAATTCTGTTTTATCTGTCTTTTATTAAGCACAGAGTTTTGTCCCGGTTAATCGATGTGAGCTGCACGTAGCTGCATGTGTTGTCTTTATTTTCTGTACAACACACATATACACAATAGATGAATGTTTGTGTGTATTTACCTATATATTAATATTATGCTCGAATTGTTATCAACATGAGAACATAATTTTACTTACTTTTGCTTACAGACCTTATTGCCAAGAACTTTCACTATTGCATTGCATTACCCAAAGGTGATTTGATTTTCATTGTCCAAATTGGAAAAAGGTATCAACGATTTACGAAACTCTCATTAATCCATCAAACACTGATTTCTTCTTCCAGTGTCTTGGAATATTTTACTTAGAATGATATGCAAAGTAAGTAATTTTAAATATTCGGAATTTTCAAAATCGCTGTGAAACTATAGGTTGCTTTGTTCGTATGCTGTTAGGTATTTTTTACAATAGTATCCAAATTATTTGTCTCGCATTAAAGATTATCAGCCTGTTGAAAATTTGATAACTTTATCGAAACGCTGAAAACTACTACCAGCACATGAAACTTCTCTCTCTCTCTCTCTCTCTCTCTCTCTCTCTCTCTCTCTCTCTCTCTCTCTCTCTCTCTCTCTCTCTCTCTCTCTCTCTCTCTCTCTCTCTCTCTCTCTCTCTCTCTCTCTCTCTCTCTCTCTCTGTGTGTGCGTGTGTATGTGAAAGCATCACATATAGAGACCGGCTATACAAAATCGTCATGTACTGTTAGAACATATCCTTTACTTCAATTCGTCAAATTTATAGAAAACCTATTATAAACACCAAGTTCTATTTTTGTTAAAATAAAATACGCTACATTCTTTGAAAATTGTGATTTTAGGCTTATCAATTTGTAAATGTTTGAATGAAACTCGATGGATATAAGTCTGTGAAATAATATAGTTAGTTTAGCAGGAAAAAGTCTCACGAGTTTTCATCTTATGCAGCGTAGCAATCATACTTAAGACAATCGCAGTTTTTTAAATCTTCCGGCGATGAAAGATTAGTTTAAATTATTTTTTTCATTTGCTGCTTAACGAAAAGGTACGAAATAATTTGTATCTTGTCACCATTTCATTATTCCATTCACAAGGGAATGACGTGACTTTTAACGACAAACAACTTAGAAGTCTATATTTTGAGCTTCGAATTCTAAGAAGCAAGCTTTACTTAGTACCTCTCTGTTAATAAAGAAATAATGTCTCCGGTGTGGAATAAATTAAAATCTGGAAACTTTGTATGAATCACGTTTCAATTTTTCCTGTACCCTTTATTCCATTAGATTATTTTTTTTTTTTGTTTTCCCCTATACTTTTCCTTAGCATCTTTGTCAAAATACGGACCTAAATAATGTTCCAGTTCAATTGTAATTCCAGATTATTTTAATAGTCTTACACAGAGAGCTATATGTTGAGATCAAAACATTACGCGTTAATATTTTCTGTTAACTCATCATTTTAGGACCAAAGACGACGCTGGAAAAATTGTGTGCTCTGGCCTGTAAATTACCGTAAGTATTCCATTGAGATATCGTATAAATAACGTACCAATATGCGTGCGTGCGTGTGTGTATGCTTTGGATGTTTATCGTAGCTTTAACGTTTTTCAGTCATATAACTACAATGGTTGCAATGTGACAGTTTCTATTGATGTCTAGCACTGGTGCATCATGTTGCAGACATGCATCATGATGTCCCAACCAGTCACATTATCCTGACCTCAGGCCGACCAGTCCTAATACTAGCCTCTTAATTCTGAGCGCCAATCGAGGCAGTTGTTCGTACCATTTTTATAAATTTTTGGTATGACACGGCCGGGTTTCGATCCCGCGACCTCCCGCATCCGAGGCGGACGCTCTAACCACTAAGCCATCAGAGCCGTCTTACAAAAATTTCATCAAGTCGGCTATCTCATCTGCATTAAAAAAAATAACATTGTTTTGTCCTAAACATTAGTATATTAAATTAACATGAAGCGAAATGCAATATTTTTCTTCTCAACTCAAAGCATGTAGCTTGGAATGACATAAGGCTTTTTACATTATGTTTATAATTATGTTGTCGGTTCAGCTTGAGACAGGGTCGTTTACACGCTGTTTATGATTATAGTGTCGGTCCTGCTAAAAAGTGGACATTCAAACCTTTTTCAACGTAAACAAAAGAACAGCAACCTTTATTTAGAAGTACATATGTCATTAAAGAAACCTTTAACAGAGCACTGTATTTTACCAAATTCGCCGATAACTTGTTTCGTGTTTTCTTCATCTGTTACAGGTTTCCACCGCCAAAAAGCTGTCAATGTAACCACGGAAACAAATTCGGAAGTTGGTCTTAATCAGGAATGAAGAAGAAACGCCCAAATTAGAACAATCTTTTGCATAAAAATAAGGACTTAATACACAACTTGGAGTCAGTTTTAAAGTCATAACATCCCTCAAAGTATAGACTACTTCTTAATACACTTAATGTAATTTCATTATTCTGTCATCTAGAAATTCTCAGGTGCATCCAACGTTTTTAGCTACTCAGAGGGCTCTTGGTAGACAATCGGATTCTTTATGTGAAATGGCTGTCACAGGAAAAAGATGACGGACTTTTGTTACGACCGTAGAACAATAATGATAAGAATCTGATGGAAAAATACATTTCACATGTCCAGGATGTGCAATTGTTTTAGATGGCATATCTTCAGCATTTTGACCCTTTTTCTCTGCTTCTCGACCTATTTCCCTCAAACCTGAGATGGAACAGAGCGTGCAACATTCTACTCTTCAGGGTAATGAAAATTATACAAGACAAAATTGGATATGCAAGATGAGATCAAATTATCATAATTTTAGAGAATTCGCATCTTTGAGCTTTCTTTGAAATAAAATATATAGGGACAGCAACATGTCATCTTACTTAAAGCGTTATATTCTAATCGGAGATCGTATAATTATCACAAGATCAAAAAAGATTATTTTCTCAATTAACTTTTTTCAGTATTTTCCGATCTCCATCGTTGTGCAATATCCTTAGTATTCTAATCAGTTTCCGGCATTTTGCTTCTGATCTTTAGCAGATATGCCGATTTATACAATTTTTGTTAAATTATTAAGGATTAAAAAATTTACATCAAGTAAAGCAATATTCTGAAAGTTTGAGTTATATATATATATATATATATATATATATATATATATATATATATATATATATATATATATATATATACACACACACACGCTTCTCTTTACAAAAGTGTGATTACAAAATAGCTTGTCAAACGTTAAATTGACGGTCGACGTCGATAATACTAGAAACTTATTACAATGAGATAACCATGTGCATTTTTTTGGGTAGTCTCGTTCAATCAGACGCTTGTACTTCCATAAGATCTACCATATGTATGATAAAGATCTCACACAGAAACATGAGATCGAGAATTTCTCTGCTATTGCTGTAGGGTTTAACGCCATTTTTCAGCACAAGATAGGCTATACATGGCGGCCAGTATTAATGGTGGAAGAAGAACCCTAGAAAAACCAGGGAAGAACCACCGACCCACGAGAAGCTACTGGCAGGCTTTCTCACTTACCCACGTTAGCCGAGTCTGGACTCGAACTCACGCAGACAGAGGTGAGATAGCAGTGATCAGTAACGGTCAGCGCCTTAGACCACTCGGCCACTCGAAGCCCCAGAATTTCTACTGCATTTGCAAAGATGATTGCAGTTAGTTTGCCCCATTAATGTACCAAATTAATAAAGATGATTTGTTTCCAATATATATATATATATATATATATATATATATATATATATATATATATATATATATATATAGATATATATAAAATGATTGTAAAAGAAAGCTCCACCTTTGCGCATATATTAGGCACCAAGATGGCATTTTACGAAGCTTGTTATCGTGCCGTAGTTTCCCGATCATGATCGGCAGCTGTATGTCTCATTATCCTAAATTATTGACGGGCCAAATGAAACTCCCTTAAATATGTGATCTTATATTTTTTCATTCTGTAACCCTCTATCCTTAGGAAAGAAAATACGGACCCACAAAGAAAAACGTCGAATTCGTTTTGTAGCTTTTAATTCATGCGAAATACTTTTTAAAAAAGGCTATAAGCATAAAAAAATTAATATAATTTGCAAATCCTTCTTCAAAGATCTTGTAATTTTTTTTCTTATGCTGGTAAGTTGGTCTTGCCTGCACAGGAAAAGTTGCAACAATTTAATTTTAATAGAAGCAAATTAATTTCTTTCTTTCTTTCTTTTTTCCACTCTGTTCTTATTAAAGTCAGTACATTGTATAGCACATATCACAATGATAGACACAGTAGGACTGATAGATTAGTTGAATCAACTTATATACGCATTTGTAATTCATGTCAAAGCGCCTGGAGTGGTTCTGTTGCTGTCAATTTACACCGTGTGGAATTGACACCAATGCAATATTCAGAGGTTTAAAATTTGTATTGACCTTTAGTACATTACTTCTATAAATTACTAATTAATAAACATATAAATCAACGTATCTCATCAATTAATAAATATCAAAAATAATCTCGTTCTTAAAATGATTTCTTTATTTCCACATTTTTATGAATTCTAGTGTTTAATTTATATGTTCAGTTCACGAAGACCATCGTCCTTATGTTTTACACAAACCTGAATATGGCTCATCCAAAATTGTGCCTAGATCATGCAGAATTTTCCGAAAATAGCTGCATTTGAAAAACTTATATATTTAATGCAAGTGGCATTAATGGAACCGGTATAATCACACCTGTTTACATTGAAGAAGACGTGAGTGAAGACTCAAAGTCAAAAGGAGGCCTAAATGGACAAAAGAAACCCAAATGGAAATATACAACCTCAAACGAACAAAAGAGGCCCAAATGGAAACCAAAGGACTTAGTGGGGACTAATTTGCCCAAATGGAGTCTAGAGACCTCAAATGGAAACCCTGATTCCAACTATTCTAATAGGTCTAATTTCTAATGAACTGGTCAGTAGCTCATTCAATATCATACGACTTAAACGCCTAATTGCTATCTGATAAAAAATATCATAATATTATGTAAGGCAAGGGCGTAAAGTCTGAGGCATACATACACACGTACTTCAGCGTCCATTCACTACGCTCTTGGAGAAGTTGTATTCAACAAATTTATTGGGTTGTCTTTATTTGTGTGATCTACATTTTCATTCGTTTCATGTTTTTATTAAGGGACTTTTGAATAAATTCAATCATCTACTCAAGAATATTGGGAAAAGATTCTCTATTTTACGCCTCTTTTAAGTCAAGTCTTCGTCACAAGGGCTAAGAGTAGAATCTGTCTATACCAATGTATTCGTATATCTGCTACACGAACTAAACATTGTCTAATAACAGCTGAATAGCCATTTCAACAAACGGGTTACCATCCCGTAATGATAAAAATTAGAAACAAAATAATATCGCCATGGTGACACTCATTAAATGTCTTAATAAAATTGCCTAAAAATCCTGAGTTTCAGTATCATTGTATTTGTGATGCAAATACCACATTATGACAAGCATACGGTATTTGGTGACATGGATAATTAGTAACTAAAAAAGTACATGCGACATAAAAATCAATCGTTGCCTGAAGTAACATTTATCACCTCTGATTATAACAAAAATGTCTCATGGTGACATGTGGCACAATAACTCTCGCCTTTATTTTTCACTGGTCTCCTTTGTTTTAGTTTTGACATAACACTCGTCTGCAATAAGTAAAAAGATAAAAGGACAATAGGTTAATTTTATTTGAAGATTTGTTTCTATTTTTGTTAATATATATATGTACTCGGAATGAAACGTACAAATGAATAGTCATTAGTCTTGAAATAAAAGGCCCTTCAGTTTAGAATCAAATGTGTAGAGGAGGCGAGATTATATAACCAGGGCGCAACATTTTTCACATTTACGATGCTATATTATAAAGGCCATGTTTTCCAGAGGACGTATGTACGACGTACACAGTTCGGTAATCGATTTTATCCGATTTGTTTCCTTCTTGACACATTTTATCAAGTTGTTCGGTTGAAAACTTGACAAATATTCGGACAAAAATGTAGATACAAAGGAAGGCAATATGTGTAAAGATTACAGCTATTAAAACTTAAATAATTTATGGAAATTATAATATGCAGAACTTAAGCACACATTAAGCAAAATATAATAAAATATCACCCTCTGCAAATGTCAAAATCAATGCCATGTCAGCTCTGTCTTCATGAAAAGGTTGTTTCCAAATTACGTTTTTCTCATGATATCCAAGTGCACACAGTTTCATTACACTCTCCTAGATAGCATCAACGTTACCTGACACGAAAAATAAAGAACCTTGATCTATGACAATGTCATTATAGACAGGGCCATAACGCAGAATTAAAAAAGCACTGTAAAGACAAAGGATTGTAATTTGAGTTTAATCATTGATATAATCTCATTCTATCAGTAATTTCTCTTATGAATCGAACACAGTAATAAGCAAAATTGACATTTTACCTAACTGACGATAAAACTGTGAGAATGATAAAAGTTACATCTGACGAGTTAAAATGCTAGAATGCAGTACTTTTCATATAGGTACCTTTAAAGGTCTTTAGTGACAGAGCCTAAAAAACTACAAGTAATAAAGTTAACTTTAGGATTTAGACAACCACCATAGTGGTAAGGTATACAATGTTTCTAAATTACGTCCCAAACATGATAATCTTACCTTAGGTTTTGTGATGTGACCAAGCCGCAATAGCTACTATATGAATACACAAAGTTTCATCTCATTATTATTATGTCTCAGTTACATCCAAGACAACAAGCATCATTGATCTGAGGTAAAGGCTTAAA